TGCTGTATTATAGCGGTATCACATTGTAGCGACTAATCTGCCAATAATTACACGTTCAGTTATAAATACTATCGATAAGTTGCACTTTAATAAACCGCGTTGAAAAACGGTTTGTGTAAAACTCATGACACATGACACCTCAAATCGCTAACATTTCACAATCTACAAACGCACACATGACTAATAGTCTTATTGTCAATTTTTGTTTTTTTTTTTCTTGTTTGTTAAGTGTAAGCGCCGAGGTCGTGTGCGTTGACGGTAATATTGTAATTATTGTCAAGGATAAAACTTAACAATATAATACACCTAATGTAGGTAGGTTCGGTGAAAGCAAAACACAGTCAAAGATTTAAAAGTTTGCGAAAAATACGAAACGGTTTGGCACGGATTTCGGTTTGTTTAGTTTACTGTTAATGGTTCAACTAGTGTGTATTGTGTTCAAAAATAATATTCCACACAAGTGGTTTTAGCAGTAGGTCACCGTCCACGAGTTTATCCCAAATTCAAATTTCAAACTAATCGGAAACCCATGTCTAAACTAATATACGCTTTTATTTACCAACAAAAACCTTATACCAAACTCCAAAGGTCAGTTCATGAGTAAAAAGTTAATGAAATTTAACAAAGTCTACTTTAAAGTCGAGAAAAACATTTAAAAAAAAGACATCATTTTAAACAGGACAACATACATTTTTAAAAATGAGTCGAAATATATGTCCAATTTTGTTTAAAATGGACTTTGGATGTAGAACTACCGATATGTGGTAAAAAAATCCCTTTTCTCCAGTAAGATTGGTGAATTTTATTGTAATTCGCTTTTTCCGAACACTTAAATTTGATTTGATGCAATTTGTTTTGGGTTTATTGTAAGGAGGTCCTTATAAGTTGTGAAAATTCTACTTCTACTAGATTTAATGTCTACCTATTCTAACACAGCGTTATTCGATTTTTAAAATTATTTTATTATCAAACGCAATAATATATTTAATAACAAATTATCACATTATCTTAAAAACATTCTTACAGCGTGGTTTTGGCAGGAAATCAATTTTAATATTTATAATACGAATGTTTAAATCATATTTGTTAAATTTTAAACAAATTTAAAAATTAAATCATACATAAAAATTATTTTCAAAAAATCAAACAAATATTCTTATTATACTTATCATAATATTTTCCATGAAACTTCAACAAAATATTCGTTACATGTTTTTCTTAGATAGATACTTGTGAGTTTTTCCTTGTAATCATATTATTTGTTACATTTTAGCAAATGTATTATTCGACAATTAATTCAGCGTTTTATTTATATATTGATATAATAACAACTAAATATTAGTAAGCGCCACAACGTAGGCTACGGCCTTTTCTTAAACGAGTCGCAAGATATCAGTTTATGTGATTACTTTAAACTTGCAACCGGATAGCTTAGCGTGTACCAAAAATACCACGCGTTCGACTTTATATATACCGCACATAGTTTCTAATTTCTATATACAGACCGGATGGACCAAAAAGTTTAAACGTCGCAGCAGCTATACAGAACGCTGAGCACTAATATAACTTTAGTGGCTTAGAAGTTAACACGGGAGGGCGTCGCTGTTGGGCGTGCGGTCGGGACAGCCGCGCGATTTCTTGCACCTGATGTCAAAACAACAGTATAGGCAATAACAATAATAATAATAACGCGCCGCTATGCCGGGAACAAAGAGCTCGGCGCCGACTTGTACGAGCGTGTATATACGAGCGTTATAGTGCACTATATACATAATATTATATACCTACGTCCTAAGTACAGAAGAGAGAGGAGGAGAAGGCCGAAAGGTTTCTCCTTCTTGTTTTTGCAACAATCGCTGCGCTTCCCGTCTGCTCCCCGGTTCGTCGTATATATATATACATAATACCGTTTGTTCATAGCGATAGTACTACTTCTACTGTATATAGGTACGTGTATATATACATGGTAGCTCGGCATATACAGCCCTCTTTTGTTTACAATGTCGCTAATGGATTTCGTTGTCCCGGGAGCTCGGTTGTTCGCGACACTTGTTTTAAACGCACCTCCCCTCAATCCCCTCCGGTGCCGACTACACGAATTCACAATCCTTTCACGTCCGCCGTCGCCTCGACAGCGTATACTACCCTCGCTCTCAGAGAGCCTATAAGCGTAAGTACTCACAAGAACGTTTCGATTTTCGGTTAAGTATACCTAGGTGTAGGTATATCCGTCAAAAACGCGACGATGAAGCGCGCGCGGTCCGGGTGCTAATAAACGGGCGGTTACCGTTTGTTATATAAGCCTAGCAAAAAATAAAAATAAAAGGAATACATTACACGGTCGTTTTAAGTGTGTATACTATGGTGTACGCGCACACACACACATGACAGGAGATTAAAGGACAAAGAGAGGATGGAGCGACATGCACAATGCAATGATGTCTGCGGTGTGTGTGTGAGTGTCTTTGGCGGCGGCAAGTGGGGAAGAGTACTTATAGGCGGGCAAAGCGTTAGGCGATGGGCGCGGCTTCCGGGACAAGAGAGTAGGAGAGATATTACAGTGTTGTGTGTGTGTATGTATAATACCTACTGTGGCTGATAAGCATCGTAGTCACACGACCGCGGCACACGTTTAGCGAGAGGCGTCGGGTAAAATAATAATGAGTACCTAATGTATACTATCCAAGTGCTGTGTCTCTTAGTACGGATATTTTTTTGTAAGTCCGACGCGTGGCACAAGTTCTCGGCGTTTCGGCGGAGGATGGGATTTTTTATCCTTAATCATATTATCTATTATCCATTCTATTATCCAAAACAATAACCGGTCTATACCGTAATGGGGTAAAAAAGAAAAAAAAAATGTAGTACCCCCATTATCATAAACGGCGGGGAAGCGCGCGTTACGATTGCCGCCCGCTGTGTTCGGGCCGATATATTATACATACATTTAATAATATTGTATTGTACACCGTTTGCCACTGTTATGATGCGCTTGCGGTTCCAAATGGATTATTATTATTACGGTAATAGTACTGCAAAAATATATTTAGTATTGTATCATTGTGGCGTTAAAAACGACCAGCGCCGCCGATAACCGCGAACGCACGACAATATGTGGACAAATTGATTTTGGTATTCAATCCATTTCCGCCCGCATGTTATTATTATAATTCTTTATATAATGTCTTTATTGTGGTAATAATACATATTATACCGGGCCAGTGTATGCACCGTGCATACTATTATTTATAAATCTCAAAAACCAACCTCGTCAAACGGCAAAGCCACAGTAGGTACACCGCGGTCGCTTAAACATAGTAATATAATGTAAAGCACAGGGCCACTGAAGACGATCACGTAGAGCAATACATCGCTATAAAATTATATAATATAATACTAGAATCCTTAGTATTTGTTGTATTCAGTGGCGGTATTGGTATATTTTGTTGATGATATCTACCTACCTACGTCGAATTTGTCCATCTAAAAGTGTTATATAAGAAACTATATCAATTAGGCCTTTGTTGGTGTATGAGTAAAATAATATCATTACAGATTTGTATAATAAAGAACGATATTTCCTAAAATAAAAGTGTGTTTTCCGAAAAAGTTAAGAAAAAATCGTAATTTTGATTTCATTTGACTGAATATAAACCTCGTTGTATGTTTATAGTACATAAACAATTCAAAAATCTAGTCGCAATAATTAAAACTAGTAAAAATCGTCTTACGCATAAACATATGTAGGTACATGCAAAACTGCATTAGTATTTTTTTTTTAGTTCAAATAATATCAATCATATTTTAGCATTAGATTGGGTATTATGCATTTTATTTTTGTTTAAATGGTATATTTTTTAACGTACAATTTTTGTCAACACTTCTTTTATTAAAAGTATGACATTATCGTTTGTTTTACTTGCTTTGTTTGTGTAGGTCTTTTTAGCTATTTATAATTTTTAAAAGTAATGGTACGAATTTTTAAGTTTTCAACAATAGCGATATTCATTAATATAAGAATTTTTAATTATTATTAATTAATAAATGGCTTAAAAATGTTCTGTTTAACAAACTAAATTTGTCAAGCAGATAAATGATTTCCAGTTTTAATAGATGTTCTTATATTCAATTTACCAATATTGTATATAAAATAAAAATTTTCATTCACGCAAATAACGTAGGTACCATTTATTATTATTAATAAACATTTTCGTTTTATTGTCAGTTCTAATAAACCCGCAATCGGGCGTTGTCTATCGTTTAACACGGTAAATCATTAACGGGTATAGGTACCTATACCTACTGTGGAATCAACAGTACGATTGTACCTACCTATCTAATAATCCATTTTGTTGAACTGACAATACTTTATTTCTAAGTCCATATAAGTCATATTTAATCAGACGTACATAATATATTCATCAAGATTTTCTCGAATCGACCTAATTTTCTTAGTTTTTACTCGCTAGGGGATATTTTGTCTTATTGTAAACCGGCGTACCGTGGCAGTTTACACGTCTTGAGTCTGTTTTTTTTTTTTTCATAACAACAATCAACACTATAACAATATTATTACATCTAACATTACATAGCGAAAAACATTTTGCGGCGTTATAAGCGCCCGTGTTAAACTTTGCAATGTACCTACCTATAATAACCCACCCGACATCGGCGCTACTGTTGGTGGGACGCACCGCGGCTGGGTGTGTGCGTATAAACGGATGATAAAACTACAAAACGGGCCTTGTTCGCCACGACGGCGGCGGCGTACGATAATTATGTGTGTCAGAAAATATGTTGTCTTGGCGGTGGCCGTCACGGCGGCTGCGGCGGCGGCGACGGCGACGGCGACGACGACGAGGGGTAAACATGGTGGCGGAGCGGGGCGATCGCCGGTAGGGCGGACGTAGGAGGCGCTAGTGGCCGTCGGGGGCGGTGCTACGTACAGGCGGCGGCGGCGACGAGATCGCAACGGCGGCCCGTGTGTGTCTGTGTGTGACTGTCAGCGTGTGCGTTCGTACGTTCGTCCGTTCGTTCGCCCCTGCCCGTTCATCGTTATCGCCGTCGTCGCCGTAGTCGTAGCCGTAGCCGCCGCCGCCGGTGAGTTGTAAGCACTTTTACGCCGCCGACCTGTCGTTACTACCGATCGTACAAGTCTGTATATAATTCGAATTGGGAATACATCACGTTATGAAGACTGTAACGGCCGATTGTCGTTAACGGGGTTGTTATACATTTTTGTTTTAATACTTGCGCCGTTTTTTTTTTTCGGTGTTACGCGTCGTTTTTTTTCTTAACGAGTTTTTCGGTATAATTGTTGTTTTTTATTTGTGTGAAAAAACTTAACGCCAAAGTCGTGCCAGATGACACGGACCCATCGCCATAGCAGTTGCATCGCGACGACGCCGCCCGTGGTCTCGTAGCGGTCCCACGAAAAGTTTTCAAAACGGGTTTTCCCCGTACCATGACTTCACAGTTTTCTCAGCAACTCGCCAAAAATATTGCTCACCAGGTAAGCCGGCAAAGTTATAAATTAAAGCCCGCCACTCTGTTGTACAACCGAAGCCAAAAGTTAATTTCCAATTTCATTTGTCCGTTCGTCCGGTTTATATATATACTTGCAAAAAAATAACGATACAAACACATTTTCAAACGAGGATTATTTTTTTTTACCGAGAAATCCTTCGAGCTTTATATGTAATAACCGATAGCCTATATATTACAGTTATTAAAATACAAAAGTGCACTAAAAAAAAGTACAAGAAAGAATCACTACCGATAAAAAAATATTTAAAATTAAACATTATAACACAATAGGAATACTTTAACTAACGTTGAAAACAGAAACGATTTAATTCAACTAAATATACACAAACATTATTACACAACCGTTTAAATTTAGTTAACTATTTAACTATAGTTAACTGTTTCAAACGATTTAAGATACATTCTCATTAATAAGTTTGCCCAATGTATTTTCAATTCAGCAAGAAAATAAGAGGTTTGTGCCGATATACGCACGCGGTATTAATTTTTTAAAAAAAATCCGAGTACTTGTGCCTAAAAGTTAAACGAAAATGTTTATAATATTCAATCACTGGTAGACTGGACGATGGCACTTCGGTAAAATGTTTATCGCGGTAAATTCAGTATTTTTAGAGATAACATTTTAAAAAAAATCGGTCGTTTATATAATATCATTACCTCGACGTTTTTGAGTAGGTATATTATAAAAAAAAAAAATATTGTATTTTATCACTTTAATCTTTTTTATCACGTCTGCCCAAAACGGTTAAAATATTGTACACGACTTAGGGTAATCAACAGCACAGTCGATTTCGTTACCATAACAAAAATAATCATGAATTTTCAATAAACAATACTTCTTCGAAAACGTCTTCCGAATGATCTTATAAATAATTTTTTGTTTAATTTGTGAATCTCATAAACGTAATTTATTAGTTCTTGATGTCAAAGGCCTCTTTTTTTAAATGTCAGACTCAATTTTTGTTTTTTTTCGCTCTTGTCTACTGCCGTAAGTATACTATTTGATAAGATTTCGGTCGCCCAATTATTACCATTTTCATGTGTATTAAAATATATGTGCGTTGAAATTTGTAAGGTGCTTTCTGTAAACAAAATTGCACGCTTCGACATTTGACCTGAATATTAGGCGTTGGAAACGCGCTGCGGGTTATGTACCATATTGATAGGTTTTATATACTTTGTATGCATGATGTACGTTATCGCGTGAAGTGATATAGGATGTTTTTGTCGATACATAAATTATCAATGTTCATTCGTCTATTTAAACTTTAAATTTAAAAGGAGAGTATACCTTGCGTTTTAAATTTCATCTGTTAACAAGTTAGGTATCTGCCTAAATAAACGATTGTAAATCATAACGAAGCTTTGAGATTATATCTAAATTTTCTGGAAAAATTATTGATTTAAAAAATTTAAACTGTTCAAAAATATGTATTTATTTACCTATACCCTAATATTATATGTGTTAGCCCTGTTAACCAAGGATTGTTATTAGCACGGACTGTGTACAGTTTTAAAATAGTACCTATAAATAAGTTTGCTAGTGTTTAAATATAATAACAGTCATTATCATAGTATACTCCAACAACATTATAGATACACAACTAAAAAAAGGACGTCATAACCCTTATTCATGAAGGAATTTGTTAAAGGCAATTGTTTGCAAAATCTCAATTTAAAGCTTCAATTGTTACATATGTAGTTATTACTGTAGAAATTAGGACGCTTTTGGTATTACATTTTCAATCTGTTTATCAAGGATGACAGCAATTTAATTATTTTTCCACCTAAATATAATATAGCTAGAACATCTATTATATGAAATCGAAAGTTGATGACATTTAGGGTTAATAATTCCGTGTGATTGCGATAGTTAACATATTGTAATATTTCAGATAGATAGATATATGTTATGTCACAGGTGTTGTCTAATTTATTATGTTACAAAATATATTGAGTTATTAAATAGTAGTCAAAACTGTATGCACTCCTGTTAGGCCACATAGTCAAAACGATTACTGTATGTAGTGTCTTGAATTGAAAAAAAAATTGTGCTCATAATCAAAAATAATATCGTTCGGATTGTCTCTCTGGTAACGATACCTAATAATTTTAATGTTTTTTGTTTTCTGTACAACATATAAATAACATTACACGACCAGTCTTATGACACTAACTATATAATCCGAGACCGAGTTAAATACCTAACCGATAATTATTATTATTATTATTATTTAATAACAACACGGTTCTTAACCAGCGATTGAACGTTATCTCGGGAAAGGCCTGAGCTACAGAACAACGTGGCGTACGCGGTAAAAATACTTCTCAAGTCCTAAGTACACATGTTTTTAAAGGCCGTAACATCAGGTTAGGTCTGTCGTATAATGTTATTATTGTTGGTTAAACACGCAGTCGTTGGTCCGGACTGTAGAGCAGCAACGCCATTGCACCGTTTTCTACTGTATATTAATATTAGCCCGTTTAGGTCTTCACTCGCATGCGGCTATGACACTTACCGGTTAGTTAGTCAGTGTTTCCCGTGTACCGTCGATTCGAAATTAATCGTTGTTACCGTTAAATTTCCTGAACACGAGAGACATGGATTTCAGCTATTGGTCTACTTATGCTAGCGGGCTGTGCAGTTGCACTGTAAGTACAACAAAAACTCTGCACAATTTATTGCCATCATCATCGTATTATTGACACTATTGACATTTTACACACCGATCACAACGTGTATTCGACTAACATTTAGTATACCGTACACAAACAATAACCGTAGTATTATAATATATTATGGGCACGCGACCACTGTTCGTGGACAGAATGAACGAAAAGCATGCGTTAGTCATTTTTTTTCTGATTATTATTATATTACATAATAATATTATACTTGCCAGTATACAAACGGGTTAATAACGATAATTATTATTATAAGTATTGTCGTTATTGTTGTCGGGTTGACAAAAAAAAAAAAAAAAAAAATACAATTACAAATTACACTTGGAATACTAATGCGGCGGTTCCACTGACCTATACACCACTTGGTCAGAAGCCGAAAACAATGCGATTATGAATTCAATAATTCACAATCGTTTAATATTGTTATCATTATTATTATTATTATTTTTTTTTCTTACTTTGACGGTAAAGATATTCCATTGTGAATTTTTTTCGTTCCTCTATGCTACCGAGACAATCGACTTGCTCCACATATTATTATTACAACAGTGAACGCGCGCAGCTGCGGGCTAATACACCATAATATATTGTTTCACTTTGAGACAAAAAAAAAACCATGTTCCATGCATAGAGATTTATTTTTGACCGGACAGGACGCTGGACATTTTTTTTTTTTTTTTGAATTATTTTAAATACAATCGGTTGTTTGGTTGTTTGACCGCTGAACCTAAATTATAATATTTTTTTTATCCGTGAAAATAAATAGTTACAAAAAAAAATGTATACAACTATATAGGTCGAAAAGCAGAGAACCTCGTGAGTTAAATACATAATTTTTTTCTATAGTTTTGTGCAACTATAGCGGTTCACACGGACGATACATTTTCCTTTACACATACAACAACACTGAAGAAATATGCAAATATTCTATAATCTTTACACGCGTTTGTTCTTCTATGTAGCGTAGCCTACGATATGTATATATATATATATATATATAATAATTATACATAGAGCGAAGGTGCCTTATTAATTATTAATTCGCGCACATGATACGGACAACGCGGCGCTCGTGGTCTGTTCCAATTAGGACAAAACAGGTCACATAATATTATATATGTTGGCCGATGGGTTATTAATGGTTTTTTTTTTTTAACTTCTTCTTTATAGTCATGTATACAGCTTTGTTTGTATAAAAATAGTAACGATTCGAAGCACGCCCAAATCAAATATCGTATATTATATAATTATATGTGTCCGGCTGGACATCAATAAAATTATTATAGAGGTGGAAACAATTTTAACATCTAAAAACGGCCGGTTATTAATTTTCCAGTATAAAAATATGGAAACGAAATCGCCGAATCGCGTGTTCGGGTCAAAAATAATTTTTAACACTTACATACAATACACAGTAAGCTTTTTGAGGCAAATAAATGCAGTCACATATATTATACACGGTTACTTAACACTATAAGATTGTTACTGTTCGATAACAGAGGCGGATGTCGTGTTGGAATAATATTATTATATAAAGAGCTAAAACTACAACAAAATATTTATTTTTTCATTTATTCATACAATCCGTAAAACCAAAACCAAATTGATTTGTTAGTATATATATATTTCAACTTGACCTTTCGCGGCCCGCAAGAATATTATACACTATAACGTATGGCCGTTCGTTATGCCATCGATATTTTCATGTAAGTAATAACCGTCCCCAATTCGGTACAGTAATAAACGACCCTGTTGGTGGAAAAAAACGAAAATAATTCAAATTACACCTAAGCGCGAAAAATTAATAACCATCATATGCATCAGACGTCAGTCTAGGAATGTAGAAAACGGGGGGAAGAGCAAAACGAATCTGGAATATGTGCTGCAAACAAATTTTTCCTTGTGGACCACATGGGCTGAGCCCATTCTCATACTTTTCCGTTGGAAAAAAATTGGCGCCGAATTCGTTTTTTTAACTTATGGTGCGTATACTCGAGTACACGGGCACCTTCTCGTTGTTTGGCAAACAATAACACCGTGTTTTCACAGGCAATTTTTTTTTCTAAATTACACTTGACCTAAAACCAAGCCTACGCAACTCTGTTCGGCGCCACAAGTCTTTTAATACAAAATACAACTAAGCGGCAGACTGAACAGTCCTTTCCTCGTTGTCCAAGTGCAAAAATATAATTATTATGCTATTCAATTATTAGTATTTGTTATATAACTACATAAACATCTGTTCTGTGTTATAGTCCCGACGTATAATATTTTTATGTTCGAAAACAAATTCTCAAAATACTACCTTATAAGTTATATTCTCCTATAACGTACACGGTTGTTATTTTGTCAACGCTGCTTTTGACGACGCATACTTTATACGATATTATAACATTATTATTACTACATCAATGTCGGCCGTGTTATATATAGGTCTGAAGTTAGTCTTTTATCTTACGGTTTGTGACAAATCCCAATGGACATTATATTTTAACAGATCTACGTGGAAATTGGATTTTAAACTATAATAAGTACCCAAAAATCATCCATGGCTTTTTGTACTCGTCTTACATAATATAGGATAATATCATATACGATAATATACGTATCCACATGTATATATATATATATGCTTATACTTCTGGTATAATAATGATATTACAGCCGTGACCCGCACAAATGTCACACAGACACAATTGCATTTTTTTCGCGTCACACGCACGTCTCTCTTTTCTTTTTTCGTCAAAAACTCACCTTATGTACGATATGTGTTTACACGTGTCAAAATTCGATCATCCGTGTAACTTCTGTGGCCGACAAAAGGCAAAGGGGAATCGAACAAAATATATTTTTAACGGCAAATCATACGGATCGTTGACGTCTGTCACGCATTATAATAATAATAATAATAATAATAATATGTACAAGCGGCTGTTATTGTTGTATTCGATGCGTCAGAGTACGCTGCGTATACAACGTGTCGTTTGACTTTTAGTGCACGATATACCTACTATATCATGGACGTTTTACGTTTTGTTCGCAGACCGCATCGTTAGCGCCGCAGCCGCCGCCGTCTCTTCAGCAACAGCCGCCACCGCCGCCGCCGTCTTCGACGTCGTCCAGCAGCCCGCCGCCGTCGCACACCAGACACTCGTCCGCGTCGCCCACCCGGCCGTCAGCGGCCGCCGTGGTGACGTCCTCGGCCACATCCGCCGCAGTCACGGCCCCGTCCACCGCCTCAGGCGGCAGCCCCACGACGGTTTCGACCGCAGTCAGCACGTCCACAGGCCCTCGGTGCTGTGACACCGGTCGTCCGATCTTCACCGATCCCATTACCGGCCAAACCGTCTGTTCGTGCCAGTACGACCTGCTCAGCTACCAGAGACTGGCCGCATCCGGCGTACCGGCCTTGTCCATGTACACCGCACCGTACCCCGAAGGCATGGCCGCCTACTTTCCGGCCCTCGGCTCCGACCAACCTCCGTTTTACTCCGCCGTAAGTACACTGAAAATGTCTATTTACTTAAAATTAATTCATACCGCCCAATATAACGTTGTATGTCCAAAAATAATAATTAGCAACAACTTTTGGCAACGACCGTTAAAGTTTTTATTTTCCACAAAACCACATGGCTTATTAATTAGTAAATTTTGAGTTTTTTTTTCTTTTTGCATTAAGTAAAATCACATATGTTAACATGACATTGTCCGTTGTTATTTCTTTATACGTCAATAAAAATACTATAATATATAAGTAAAAATAATATTAATTAAAGTTATTGATTTTTACTTAGTGGTTTAAGTAACAAATTTGATGTCAAAACTACTAATATCAGGTTATTAGTTATTTTATTACTTTTTATTTCGTTTACGTGCGAATAATTTATCTCTGCTTGTTTTTTTAATACTAATTTTTACATCTATTTCGTTCTAATAATACATATAAATATAAATTTATATTTATTAGCGTTCAATGATATTAGCGTATACATACTCTAATGACGTAGTCATTACGATCGTTTACTAGACTGGTTAAGTATATCCGTATTTGGAGTAGGTACATGCAATTAAAATTATATTATGGTCGGCGCACAGCCCGCCTACGCAGGTTATATACCTATACTATATTGATCTGCAGGCTTTCACGTTGTATTGCAAATGTTATAGTATGCCTCCGAACGTGTGTATACAATAAATTACTACACAGAAGAACATTTTAATTATGTCGTAACAGCCTATTACTTGGCGGGTTTCGCTATCCCGAGTTATTCGCCGTTATTGCCTCGACAGGCAGTAATAGTGTTTTTGGACGAAACAAAGCAATATACTTACCGCTCGACAGAGACCCCGTTTTAACCGTGCAAATTAGCATACGGGACGATTAATAGTAATAGTAGTAACAATAATAATAGTAAAATATATTACATGGTATGAATGTGGTGTTGTATGGAAAAGGGCAAACACGTTACTTTCGTGTCGCGCCATTGTCGGTGGTTGCTTGTGCTAATAATATAACCTAACGTGTGTGTGTATGTTTGCATTATATTATTACTACTGCATTTATATGTTCTAACATTAGTATATATACATAACGAGTTCGCCCCTTGTGAACGCGCTCGTAATATCGCCCGAATATTTTTATTATTATTTTTTTGTCAACGTCATAACTTTTTTTTAATACTTATAATATTTTGTTTACAGGCAGCGGCGGGACTAGATCTCAAAGAGAACCTGGCAGCTGGAGCTTCATGGCCGTACCACTCGGTCTATCACCCCTATGACGCGGCGTTCGGATACCCTTTCAACGGGTGAGTTCCCCCCAAAAAATTTTAGTCTATACATATTTTAGGGACGACTGGGAATATGTATTGTAACACACATACACACACACCTAAAACAACAATGCGCTTACATACATCCATCTGTCCAATAAGAACAAGACCGGTGTTTGCCGAGTGTAGTGGAAGGGGGGGGAGCTGTATATTATATGCTAACTAGGTATGTGTGTGTATTGTGTATGGCGTTGCAGCAGTATTGCCCTCAGGCCGACCGCTGTTAATTTTGGGGCCGCCGTCGAGTAGTGTATAGGCGGATATTATTATTAGAATAATAATAGTAAGTAAAATACAAAAATGGACGCCTCCCCGCGATGTGTAAAACACGAGTGTGCACTCGTTTAAGTGCGGATCCCCAAAGTAGTAATAATAATAGCATAACAGCAACAATAGTTGTTCGTATGGAATTACACGGCGGTGTTCGTGTATTAATTATACATACTACACTATCATCCTACACGGCAGCTTAAAACAATAATGTATTCGAGATAAATCACCTATATGAGCAACGCATACAGCCGAGCTTATAGTTTACCGGCATTTAACGGTAACATCCCACCTTCTCTTTTGCACGGCTCTGATTAGACGGAACAAAGAGTGGAGTTCTGTTACTTGAGAAATGCTCGGGGATTGCGCAATTATAGTATAGGAGAAATTAAATAGGTAGTAAAGAGGGATTTAAAAGTAGACCGGGTAAAACAGGATTTATTTTGACGACATTATTTGCATAGAGCGGAAGAAGAAAAATGAGAGCGACCGATTGATGTCCTAGGTGGTCAAATAGTTTATCAGTTTAGTTTTCGATTTCTTTATTCGGGTTTGTGTTGTCACAATATTATTGCGTACGCCTAAGCATGTACACATATAAAGGCTCGGCTTTACAACACTATGCGAATGGGTTTATATACAATACGAGCACACTGGCGAAACATGATTCCAACTGTGATTATAGAAAAGTCAGAAGCTTTACAAGTGCAGTGTTGTGTGTATGTATGTACAATCATCTGCTTTATACATTATAATAGTACAATTATTGTAGCACAGGGCATGACCGGTTAGGCATACACGTCATCATAATAACATTGTTTAATAGGACGTCCATTGTTGTGTGTGTGTGCGATGTGCTTAACATGTCCATGAATTGTTATTACGGCGACGTGAGTGGATAAACGAAATATTGTATATAATATTATGATATACCCTAACAAAGCTTGAAAATTATAATTAAAAAAAAAAAAAAATAGCGCGGTATGGGGGTTATTTTTTAACGTAAATATTTTAAATACTTTTAGTGTGTTTTTTATCCGGACCCAAAATAAAAATGTTTTAAAGCTGTATACATTATGTTTCGCGGAAAGGGGATGGAAAAAAAATAAAGTTCATAATGGGCGATCCGTGTTGTATCGATGTCGATGATAATGACGAAAGCTATCCTTTTTTGAAAAACCGGCGTATTTTTATTTTTTTTCGCCTCTGTTGTTGTTGTGTGTCGACCCCTGTATAATATTGTTTCACTTATATACCTACATTATTCCGAACCGGAAAAAAAAGGTGTTACGTTAAAAGCTTTGTCCACTTTTCAGTGTAGGTTAATTTTTTTTTTTTATGTATGCGCACACGACCGGTGTACACACACACACACACATCCACAATATATTGGACGACAACGATTTCTGTATCAGCCATATTGGACCTTTTTTTTTGCTATCATATGTTAATCCCTAAAATGGAATTCGGTTAGATATTGGGTCGCACAGGGTTAAATAAATAAATATCAACGCAAATATATTATTCGGATCACAAAAGTCATTATTTTCTTTTTTTACAACTTAATTCAAAATTTACCAAGTTAGAATAATTTTTATATTTCAAACATCTAAATGTTTTTGCGTTCAAAGATAATACGGTTGTTGTTTTATAAACGTCACGACTTAATAATATTACGGCTAAGGCAAAAATAAATTATTATCAATTATATGTAAATGAATGGATTCGTTAAAATCTACTATTCAAGGATATATTTTTTCATCCGTTGTCACGGTATACATTTTTATATTGTGTATTATGTAAGATCTTTTACATAATTAATAACACATTTTGGTGGGCCACAAAGACTTCAAAGACACCGTTGTATGCATTAGACGAACGGTGTTTATTTTTCTAGTAAAACGCGTTGGAGAGTGGAAAATTGAATAATATTATATCAAACGACATCAAACGCGGTTTCCGTCAACCGAACCAAAAATAAATTTAACGGTTTTTGGCATATTTTATAATAGTACCTATATTAATGTGGCCTGTGGGTATAATACTTTAGTGGTCACGCCGAATTTTTTTATTATGTGGCAATCTGCGGCTGTATATGAAGTTCCCTTTCTTTTTTTTTTTTTTTATAACTTATACTATTAAAACGAAGCCACGGTTTTTTTATAATTGCTCTCGCAGCCAGTTGTATCTCGAAAATAACTTTTATTAATAGCCTAGGTAGTAGGTCGGCCATGTTAGCGGACTTAACACATATAATAATATTATACGGCTCGTACCCGATGTATTAATTATGTACAACACCAAACGGTGAATATATAATAACGCGTCGTCGTCTTTGTCGTTTTCACCTCTTGTCCTGTCCCTACATAATAATATTATATATTATTATATTCAGTCTATTCGTGCCCTTCGAGTGTATTAAAAGCGCAGATGGTCGTCTATACTGCAGTGCATAGTTACAGATGGGTTTCAAGCACGAACAACTGAGGGGCAAAAAAATAAAAATTACCAGAAAGAAGAACACCTTTTAGATGCCACACACACACACACACCCCACGGCTGACGCAGACATTATTATAATATACACGGAGAACGCATTTGGGTGTGGTTTGTTGGCATAATAATATACTCTCCTGGCCGATGGTATGGGTAAAAAATAAAAAAAGATAACAATTATTACCGACGGTGGCGGTGCTTTTTGCCATTAAAATATAGGTATATCCACGACACCGCCGCCGCCGTCGTCGATAGATAAGAGTGCGAGATTAGTTTTTTATTTTTTTTTTGTAAACCGACTTTTATCAGCTCCGCAGTAGGTACGACGACCGCCTTTTACCTACCATTACTTGCGGCCGCTTCTGTTTTTCACACGCACTCACACGTGGACAACATTTTATTAGGTAATGGAATCACGTTCGTGGGAAGCCGCCGCCGCCGCCGACGACGCGTACCGGTTAAGTAGCCGCACCACCGGCATATTGGTATAATATCATAAGCGTGCCCATATAATAAATCAGCTATAATATATCATATTAGGTATATACCGGCCATACGTGTACACACAAGAGGCACACGATAAGCTCCCGCTGTACCTATACATAAAGACCTCCCCCGGAGCGTATAATATAGTCACCGAGATTTCAACGCAAATTGTTGTAGTGCGTGCTATATCTCGTGTGTGTTTCATAATGCGTTTGCTTTTTCTCCGTTTATATCGTTTTTAGCCGTTTTTTCGTCTTGGAAATTATTTACTACACTCTGTCGCGCGCGCTGGTCGGAAGACCGCAGTTGAAAACATAAGCTTGAAAAATTGATTTTCAAAACGCCACTTACAAACTTTCCATTTAATTTCAATACTCTGTACATCTATGACCCGCGTGACTTGCCTTTCGAGGTCGGCACAACGGTGTACACGAACGACTAATTGGTAATGTATTAAAAACAGAAACAGAAACGCGTATATCACCCGATAAGACTGGTATATTACGTGTGTTTTGACACATGGTGGGGTAGCAAGTACTTACAACACAGCAGAGGCCGTATAAAACAAAAATGGCGGTGGTGAGTTTTTTGTAGGGCTGCACGACACGCGAAAACGCATGTCCAACCGCAGTAACAACCGACGTCCACGGTGGCCGCCTCCTCCTCCTCCTCCTCGTATTATAGGTAAGCAGAGCGCAGTCGAGCTTATCGTGGTCCGGGCGCGGCGATTAATTATTATAACGTTTTTAACCGGTGCGAACGCCGCCCGCTGGCCTTTTTGATTGTTGCGACGCCGTGTCACCCCCTAAAAATCGTCCGCCCCTCCTCTATGTTTGGCTCCGTCCCTTTTTTTTGTTCGTCCCGGTTCTCCCCTTGTAACCGCCGCGGATGTTTTAATAATAACAACAATACATGTAAAATATACGCCGCGCTCAAAATGATGCTGCCATCTCTCATATTGTTTTCTTCGAATATATTTTCTTCACGTGTCTTGACAATGTATTTTATTCTATTAAAATAAAAAACACACGACCTATACCGACTTTGTTTAATAAGTTAAACCCGCGAACCGCAACGCGTTAACTTGGTGTAAGTGTTATCACTGCTTTAATATTATGTATACCAACTAAGTACCCTAACCCTAAGTATGTATAACAGGTCAGCCGTCAGTATCGTATCGCGACCCGTGTAAATGTCATTCGAAACATTGTAACGGCTACCAATTGTTTACCTATAACAATAATTATTATAATATACATGATTTATAAAATAATACTTATATCTAACAGCATATTAACAGGCGGTTATGAAGCGTTATTTTTTTTATCAGTATTTACCTCTAATCTGCGTACCTATAATTTTTTTTGAAAGTGGACAGCAGCCGTTTCGCAGCAATCGAACCGATAGGCCACTGTCACAAGTAGTTCGATACTTATCCACTGCGTCACACACGTTGACTTGTGTGTTTTCAATTTTTATAGACAAAACTTACCACGCCGTATATAAACGCATTCGTCATCGTGGAAAAGTAATAAATTAACTATTAAATTGCAAGTATATTTATATACCGCTTTTACGCTTATTAGTCGTGGGTAAATAATTATATAAGATTATTTTTTTTAACAAGTTTCATTACAGCTTTATAAGTAATAAAATATCGAAAACTCGGTTGTCGTCGTTGGGTTGAGCTACAAGATTTTTCCGACGAGTTTTTTTTTTCTGTA